ACCTGAGACATGAACTTCTCTGTCTCTGCTGCTATTCTTCTGTCACACCAACTTCACACAGCGCCCTAAAACATTCAGTGTTGACGTCACAGTCCTTTTCTTCCTGTAAATATTCCGTCCACTCTCCCCGATCGTCTCGATGGTTCCCAGTCGATACCGTTCGTCCGCTCGGAGACATTTTGGAAAAAGAAAAAGAAGCAGTTTGAACCCCGACAGACACGAGGCTCTCACATGTGACGGCTGCATCTCCGGAGCCTTGAACTAAAAAAGCTTTTGTCCTTGTTAGAGTGTATTCTCAGAATGGCACAGGAGAATATTCCCTCTTTATTTTTACACTGCAGCGCTTTTCAAACACTTCAAAGAGGACAGCTGTGGCACTATCGCTGTCTTCACTTGTAAGGAAGTCCAATCAAAGTGAGTAAAAATAGGAAATGTAAAAATAGGATTTTGTCTCGCGGCTGGCTGTAGTTCTTACACTTTCACTACACTGAGGAGGCAGATCTGACCGGCAGGACTGCTGAGGTTGGACAGTGTGTCCATGTGGGTCAATATCCTGAGGAGATGTGGTTAGAGATGTAGCTGAGAGGAAGAGGAGGAAGAGGAGGGAAGGAAGCCAGATGAGATTGATGGATGTAGTAAAGAAGGAGGTGGACGATGGTGTTTTGTTGCTCTTTTGTCTATTGTCGTGCCAAAAGTATCGCAATATATCGTATCGTTGCCCCTGTATCGTGATGCGTTTTGTGTCGCTAGATTCTTGTATTTCTTCTGCAGGTTTAGGTTAATTGTTCACCCTGACTGGATCATGGGCTTGAATGTGAGTGTGAATGGAAGTGTGAATCACAGTGTAAACGGTTGTTTCTCTGTAGTAATAATCTGTTTCTCTCTGTCTCTCTGTCTCCAGGTGGTTGGTGGTCTCGATATACACAAAAAGATGGTGGTGGACGTGTGAGAGTTCTCCTCCGCCCGATGCCCTCCCTCCTCACCCTGCCGTCCACCCCCACCCCCACCCCC